AATCAGCCTCGAAATTGTACCTGTTTGTGACTGTTACAGTCGTTGTACTTCCTTCAGTGTCGAGTGCACGACGATATCTCCGAATAAAGTCTGCTTCCCGACGCAGCTCATGCATCTCTGGGCTAAGGGTCAAGTCGAAATCCGCTAGCTCCACGCTCTCTAGGCCTTCTTCTTTTGGATCCAATGTGACTATTTGTTTGACCTTCAGACCAGCTCGCAAATCAGCGATGCATACTCTGCCTTGATCTTCGCTCCATACGAGAAAGTCCCATGGCGCAGGCGAGAAGTGCATTGTTCGTACTGCACCGGGCCCAGCCCGAGTATCAGGTCGCGTGGAACTGAGCAACTGCAAAATGGCTTCTTCTCCATACTCGACTATCTTCAGAAGTTCAACATCAAACACGGTAATGTATCCACACTCTGACCCAACTGCACAAAGACGGCCAGACGGTGACCACGCCGTAGTAAAATAACCATCTGCATGCGAGTTTGCAGGCCGGTATAGGGTCACGTGCTTGAGTAGCTCCCACTCCGGCGGAGTCGATTGTATCCACCCTTCCGCCACCTTATTCTCAGACTTTTGTGATTTTGTTCTCTCAAAAAAGTACCCGATGGGTGCATCACCCACAGCCACCAACATTTGTCCATCTGGAGATATTGAAGCATGGTTCATCGCAAAGGGCAAGTCGAGCACCGCAAGTTCCAGATTCTGTGTGAGCGAGTATATGCGCACCGTCTTGTCGTTGTTGGTGAGTACCGCCACGACTTCATCCTCACCACCGCTCTCCCCGGGCATCTTGTGTATCGATATTGAGTTGACAATGTCGGAACCAATCTTCTCGAGACGTATGTGCGACGCAGCACCCAGAAGGGGTGGCCGAGACAGGCGGTGTTCGAACTCCAGAGGCAATGAGGCATCGACGTCGGATGGGTCTGTAGGAGGGAAGCCCGTCACCTTGATGGCGGCAAAATTGCCGTGCTCCTCTCCTCCGACACAGACATAGCCGTATCCAGATGCAGTGCAGCGTGCTTCCCAGGGTAGCGTCGTTACGTGTGCTTGTGTTCGTGTAGCTGCATTCAGACAGTAGACGGCCGCGCCGCTCGCATAGTAGAGAAGGTCAGGCTCGGGACACGAGATAAAGTGGCGCAATTGATAATGTCTATAAATGTTAGATTTCCACGGGGAGTTGGACGCCGTACAGTGCTCACGCGATGGGTATCTTTGTAGGATAGTAGGCTTTCTGAGCCAGCACAAAAGTATCCGTGTCTCGATTCCTGCTGCTGTTAGAAAAAGAAAAATAGAGAAAGACAGGCTCAAATACACACAGAATGTCATCGACTGCCATAATTCTGCGGTCAGGTGGCAGAGGGTTGCATGTCTCCGTGTCTGGCTAATAAGTGAGCGGAGCTGGTGAGGCTCGGCGGTACGAGGCGCTTTACGTCACAGGATGCTTGGGCGCGTGAATGTAGGAAGTAGATGGAGGAGATAATAATAATTTTCAGGTAAGAATGCTGTGCTGAGACTGTTTCCTATCAGAAGGCGTCTTGGTCGAGGGGTTGGAAATAGGGTGCAGTGCAAATGGACGTAAGGGTGGCAGTGTTTCGAGGTGCTCCGGGCGTCACCATCGACAAGCATCTCCCCCACACGCGCACGCATGCGCCAAGCCTTCCGCACTGGGACAGTCGTTAATGTCACCACCACAGGGCCGTTGTGGCGGCAGGGCCAATTGTGGAATGGCAAAAAATACGCCTTTCGCCTCCCCTTCCGGGTTTATGTCGCGTCGTACAATATTTCGCTACTATTCGGAAGCACAGACATTTACAGCGGAACCTCGGCGGGCAATCCAGCACCAAAACGAGCTAGAACCTTCTCCGAGAATTTTGTCTATCGTCAAAGCTTCCATCACTACATCATATAATCCACCCACCCTCCCACCCATCCACTCTACACCCAATTTTTTCGTCGCCTGCATCCAATTCCGCAGCGTCTTACACAAGTCACAATGCTGTCCTCAAGGTTATCACGGAATGTAAGTAATTGTGCAATTGAACGAATAATCATTGTTGAAGCATTTTCTGACCTCATCGCAGTTTTTGCCTCGTGCGGCTTCGGCGGCGAGACGCACTCCCGCATTCAGGGCTCCGGCCATGTTTGCGCGAGGATATGCCGAGGGCGGCGACGAGAAGGTAAAGGGCTCTGTCATTGGTATTGATCTGGGTACCACCAACTCTGCCGTCGCTGTCATGGAGGGCAAAGTTCCCCGCATCATTGAGAACTCTGAGGGTATGTTGTAAACGTCATTTTGACTCCGACTGCAATACTAATAAAACTTTTTACAGGTGGTCGTACAACACCATCAGTCGTTGGTTTCACAAAGGAAGGCGAGCGTCTTGTCGGTATTGCCGCCAAGCGTCAGGCTGTCGTCAACCCAGAGAACACTCTCTTTGCCACCAAGCGTCTCATCGGTCGCAAGTTCACAGATGCTGAGGTCCAGCGTGACATCAAGCAAGTCCCATACAAGATCGTCCAGCACACCAACGGTGATGCCTGGCTCGAGGCTCAAGGACAGAAGTACTCGCCTTCTCAGGTTGGTGGTTTCGTCCTTGGAAAGATGAAGGAGACTGCCGAAGCCTACATGGGCAAGAACGTCAAGAACGCCGTCGTCACCGTCCCCGCCTACTTCAACGACTCTCAGCGTCAAGCTACCAAGGACGCTGGTCAGATCGCCGGTCTCAATGTTCTCCGTGTCGTCAACGAACCCACTGCTGCTGCTCTCGCCTATGGTCTCGACAAGGCCACCGACAACGTCGTAGCTGTCTACGATCTTGGTGGTGGTACTTTCGATATCTCCATCCTTGAGATCCAGTCCGGTGTCTTTGAGGTCAAGTCCACCAACGGTGACACTCATCTCGGTGGTGAAGACTTCGATATTACCCTCGTTCGCCACCTCGTCGACCAGTTCAAGAAGGAGCAGGGCATTGACCTGAACAACGACCGCATGGCTATTCAGCGTATCCGTGAGGCTGCCGAGAAGGCCAAGATTGAGCTGTCTTCTTCATCGCAGACTGACATTAACCTGCCTTTCATCACTGCCGACGCTTCCGGTCCCAAGCACATCAACACCAAGCTGACCCGCGCTCAGCTTGAGAAGATGATGGATCCTCTTATTAGCCGCACCGTTGAGCCTGTCCGCAAGGCCCTCAAGGACGCCAACCTGAAGCCCACTGATATCTCCGAGGTCATCCTCGTTGGTGGCATGACCCGTATGCCCAAGGTCACTGAGTCCGTGAAGAGCATCTTCGGTCGCGACCCCGCCAAGTCTGTCAACCCTGACGAGGCTGTTGCCATTGGCGCTGCTATCCAGGGTGCTGTGCTTGCTGGTGAGGTCACTGACCTTCTTCTGCTCGACGTTACTCCTCTCTCGCTCGGTATCGAGACCCTTGGTGGAGTTTTCACCCGTTTGATCAACCGTAACACCACCATCCCCACCAAGAAGTCCCAGGTTTTCTCCACTGCAGCCGACTTCCAGAGCGCTGTCGAGATCAAGGTCTACCAGGGTGAGCGTGAGCTCGTCCGCGACAACAAGCTCCTCGGAAACTTCCAGCTTGTTGGCATTCCTCCGGCCCACCGCGGTGTGCCTCAAATCGAAGTTACCTTCGACATTGATGCTGACTCCATTGTCCACGTTCACGCCAAGGACAAGTCTACCAACAAGGACCAATCCATCACCATTGCCTCTGGTTCCGGTCTTTCCGAGTCCGAGATTGAGAGCATGGTCAGGGACTCTGAGCAGTATGCCGAGCAGGACAAGGAGCGCAAGAACGCCATTGAGGCTGCCAACCGCGCCGACAGCGTCGTTAACGACACTGAGAAGGCCCTAAAGGAGTTCGAGGACCGTCTTGACAAGACTGAGGCCGAGAAGATCAAGGAGAAGATTGCCTCCATGCGCGAGTTTATCTCCCAGAGCCAGTCTGGCGAGGGTACTGCCACTGCCGCCGAGATCAAGGAGAAGACCGACGAACTCCAGAACGCTTCTCTGAGCCTGTTTGACCAGATGCACAAGGCCCGCTCTGAGAGCCAAAACCAGAGCGAGCAGTCTCAACAGCCCGAGGGTGAAGGCGAGAAGAAGCAGTAAGCGCTTCAATCGTTTGCCTGGGTTTTGTGTTTTCCGTTCGTGTCTCTTCACGTCTAAAAGCAGGCGTCTTGCATTCGGCCACGGCTGGTCTGTCAGGTCTACATGTGTAGACTTCTATATACCTCTCCGTGTTTGAGCATCTGTGTATCATATTTGACGATTTCTCTTCTCACATTAGCGTTTGTTTTACTACTACGGATCTTTGGTTCATGTCGGAATAACGAAAGGGTGATATCCTCTGGCGAACAAAAGATATATGGGATGGATGATGACGTAATCCATGGCGGAGCCAACGAGTGTACCATAGCCTGGAGTTGCGAGATGGTAGCGCTCAGCTAACTTCTCCGCTCTAAATCAATGATTGAAATGTTCACATACATGTCTCAAACTTGAATTGTTGGGTGAAGAATTTTTGGTTCTACTCATTTTCTTCATTTGCCGTTCCCACTTCCTGTCCTTGGCCGCATACGACTTGTCCAATAAATGTAAGATTTACAATCACGACCCCACCATATACGTATTATTCAGGAGAGCCTGGTACTTTTTCCGAGGCTGCCTGCTTCCGCTTCTCTAAAATACTTTTTGTACTATACATATCTGTTATCAAAAGGTTCAGTTTTCCTCAATTCCACCCATATATTTGTACACAGTTCGTGTTGATACTCCAATAAACCTGATATCTTTTCTTGCCCGCCCGCTGTATATCGGAGAGAACTTTGACGTCAACGGAAGGGGGTGTGGATTGAAGAAGCCTCTATTACACACACACAGACATTCTAAATCACTGTAATATTACGGACACGAGACTCCTTGGATCTATTTACAGTGCACGATACAAATATACTGTCCAAATCCAAGCCCAAAATGACCGAAGCGACGCACCACCCTCTCTCTGGCTTATGGCAGCCCACACAACTACAAAGGCTACATTACGGTCCAGATTCAGTAACGAAGCATCTGGTTGCCTGCCTCCCAAAGACATTCAGCAAGGCCTTTATCATTACGGGTACTTCGCTGGCTAGCAAGACTCCCTTGGTGAAGCAAGTCGAAGAGCTCTTGGGAGAAAAACATGCCGGGACGTTCAGCAGGATTGGCGAACATGCACCTATTGCCGAGCTTGATGAAGCGACCGAGCTAGTGAAAAAAGATGCAACTATCGACACTATCATCTCCATTGGCGGTGGAAGTCCCATCGATAGCGCCAAAGCCATCAGCTATCGTTTCCACGAAAAGACTGGAAAATTTCTGTATCATATCACTATCCCCACCACTCTGGGTGCAGCTGAATGCACCTTCATAGCAGGCTACACAGCAGCCGATGGAGTGAAGATAGGCGTCAGAGCAAAAGAGCTTGTCCCAAGCGTCGTCATCTATGACTCCACATTTGCTCTATACACACCGGAGCGATTATGGACGAGCACTGGCATACGCGCCATGGACCATGCTGTGGAAATACTTTACCACCCCACCGCTTCCGAGATCCCCGCGCGATGGCTGGCGTTGCAGAGCGCAGCGATTTTATTCGAGGCATTGCTCAAGTACAAACAAGATCCCAAGGACGAGGATAATATTACCAAGCTCCAACTGGCTGCTTATGGATCGCTAGGTTTTATAGGGTACAACCTCGTAGGCGGCATTGGACTCTCTCACGCCCTAGGCTACGCCCTTGGTTCTCCGTACAGCATACCGCATGGCATTACGTCCTGCCTTACGCTCGGTCATGTTGTCAAGCTGAAGGCCCAAGATCCCGCTGCTGCAGAGCAAATTGCCCGTCTTCTTCCGTTTATTGGTGAAAGTGCTTCTGGAGACACCAAGGTGGATGCGGAAGTTGTCGGAGATAGGATTTTGAAGCTGGTCAAGGACTTGGGATTGGATAATGATCTGAGTAACTACAAGGTTGGCAGAGATCAGATTCCTATTATCATGGAAAGAGCGACGGGTGGGATGAAGGACGGTCCTGTTTATGATGCTGTCGAGGGTTTGGTGAAAGGGTTGTTTGCGTGACCTATTGGATAAAGGGATTGATCGGCTCGCTAGGTGGGAAACGGGACGGCCATGATGAGATGGATGATTTCTATCAAAGCCAGTTTCATAGCAGATGACTTGTCATGTGTATGCAAGCAAGGAACTTTAACTCAAAGCGAATTGTTTATGAGCAGAGACTATCCAGGGGCTGATGTTGATTAGGTTGCTCCAGGCTTTCATATCGCCCGCTTCTTTTCGACATCTACTACAAATCACCCTCTGTTGTATCAGCCTTGCCCCGGCTCTTATGCCCGAAATGGGTTATAGTTCACTAGTTATATAGTCTGTGGTGTTCAGTCATGAACTAGGTACGCGTTTTGGTCCGGCTACTGGCAGTTGGCAGGCTTCTGGAACAGGGAAGCACTCGGTCACAGTATGCCAAGGCAAGACAGTGTTTTAATGGCCGAGACACAGAGTTTAGAATATTGGCATATACGGGCAAGCCAGGCTGTGAATGGAAGAAAGAGGCATCGCGTCAGTGCACATGAGGGTAACTTTGGCGCTACGGCACAGCGCTCGGACCAATGACGCTACACCTGCCTTACGCCCCATTGCCGTCATGCTTGGAACATGATGCTCACCTGCAGGCACAGACGATCACCCTTCCAAACGGCCCGTCTGCGTCAGACACGAGACTGATGAACCACTCGGTCAAGGATCTGGTGTGCCCAGATCCTTTTGGTCCGCTTACCCCAACTTTTACCATTTATAGCTGAGGGTCAAGTCTCCCAGATATCACCCTTCTACTAGCCAACTCGCCAGGCATCATGGCAGACACGCTCGCCGAGTCTGCGGTTGTTCAAGATACTACTTTACCAGAGATTCCAGCTATTGTCGAACCCGATGTAGATGCGGACGAGCGTGGGCGCCTGAAGCGACGTAGGCAATCCTCTCAGCACTCCCCTCGCCGAGCCTCCTCCCCCTCTCGCGGCCATGATCGCAACAGCGGCTCGCGTTACCGAACCCACTACCGCAAGCATCACCGTCCATCTTCCCCCACATTATCCATCTCCCCACCCACTTCTGTAGAGAAGAAACTCAGACGGCGCAGTGACGCCGAACCCGACCATACATTCAGGGGCCGAGCACGCAACAGAAGCATTGATCGAGGAAGAACCCGAAGTCCGCTTTTCGAGGACGAAGATGCATGTGTAGAGAGCGATGAAGATGTCAAGAGGTTCAGGAAGAGAAGTGCACCGCCTAGCAGGCGCCGAGTGGATGAAGCAGATTTGGCAGCGGAGATTAGGCGACAGAGGAGTTATCCTAACCTTTACAAAGTGGACAGGAGGGACTCCAAGGTTGAGGATGAACGGCACATGCAAGTGGGGATTGTGGGTTCTACAGAAGTTGCAGCAGCGCCCCACGCGAATGATGACCGGCGACACTAGTACATACTTCTACATACGTCTGGCCTAGTCGCCCAGTATTACGGTGTGCACTAGCATAGTCTACGATGGTGCTGGGGTTGTATGTTACATTTCCTATCCATAAGAGGAGAGCGCAGCACGGAGTAGAATTTGGTCAGCGTATTTGGCAGAAGATGTTTTTTTCTTCTTCTAAATTATTTCCTCACTGGCATACGTACATATCGCTAAGTTATTACAACGTCCCTATTCGATTCCCATGGAAGCTTACATAATCGCATTGTGGCTGTGCATGTGGTGAGGTCAAGAGACGTGGCGCCTGCAAACAGCCATCTTGGTAGTAGTACATACTACATAGACAGAGTGACTGTCTGCAGAATCACCTTTGCGTTCTGGTTCTATCCGGCCGTTTCCGCACTGCTCAGCTCAGCATCACGCTCGGCATCTCGAATCTTCCATACCGAGGCGCAACAAAAGGTGCCCCACGCCCCGCCGCCTACCAATCATCGAAGCCTAACTCCGCTCTCACTTCCGCTCGACGGTCCCCCAGCCTCGCTCCCGACTACCTTGTTGACTGCGCCGCTATGCCTCCGCCAGGCAACGAATACGCCGCCGAGCAACTCAAAAACTCCGGCAACAAATGCTTCAAAAATGGCGACTATGAAGGGGCAGAGACACTGTACTCTCAGGCAATCCAGAAAAACTCGGCCAACCCGCTCCTTTTTACCAATCGCGCAAATGCGAGGCTAAAGATGGAAAAATGGGAGGGTGTTATTGACGATTGCATTCGGAGTATTGAACTCTTGAAAGACAACATGAAAGCTTTTTTCTACTTGGGTACGTATGATTGTCTTGACGCGGTCCCGTCTAGTCTCCTGACCACGTCGAGCATAAAGGCGTGATATTAACTTAGGTCCTTGGGCTAATCGGTGTGTATATAGCGCAAGCACAACTCGCCATCAACCACCCGAATGAGGCGCTATCATCTGCCCTTATGGCATACGAGTTATGTACCACATCGGCGCAACAAACCTCCAATGCCGCCACCATATCTGCCCTAGTCCTGAAGTGTAAAAAGGCCAAATGGGACATTCGGGAACGGGAGCGCATAAGAAGACGGGGTGATCTTCTCTCAGATCTTGAGTCTATGTTAGAGATACAATACAAAAAAGAAATGGACGAGATAGATGCTCGCATGGAGGCTGGGGAAACCAGTCGAACAGACGGGCAAGAAGAGAAGGCAGAGCTGAAACAAGAATTCGAAAAGAAGCGCGATGATCTGCGAACGGCATTTGCCATTTCAGATCCCGCCAACCAACAGAAACGTGAAGTGCCGGACTACCTTGTTGACGGCATTACGTTTGAAATTATGCACGACCCGGTAGTCACAAAGAACGGTCGGTCGTACGAGCGCGCGACCCTGATTGAGCATCTGAAGCGCAGCCCTACCGACCCGCTTACCCGAGAGACACTTACAATCAGCGACCTGAGACCGAACATTGCACTCAAAGAAGCTTGTGAAGAGTTTATGAGTGCAAACTCTGGGTGGGTGTATGATTGGTAGGTTTGCGAGAATTTATTGGCCAACGATTAACTTGGTAGGTATGTTGCATGTGGAGTTACGTGTTGTGATTGAAGAGAATTGGGACGCAGTTGCTGACAATGCTACAGTGAGGATGGTGAAATGGATAGAGATGCACGTTGGGCGCATCTTTCATCAAGCTAAGCTTTATAATTCCTTTAAAATTCTTCATCTAGCTGAGATTGTCTTATTTGCATCATGAGGCGTTAGTTGGCAGTACATTCCTCTTGCGTACGTATTATTTAGACAGCATTGAGCGTCGTTGAATCAGTCATAGCTTTATACCCATGATTTTGCCCCTTTTGTTGGTGTGTTTGTCCTCTTCTTTACGTTTACTGTTTTTCGAATTCTCGTACAACTAGATTCAAGGATTCGGATAGAATTCGAGACTGCGCTCAAAGTAGCAAGCGAATGTCGTTCAACATGCAACCATATGTACGGAGAAAACAGCGACTTTTCAGCATGTCCGCACTGACAAGGAAAACAATCAAACCGGGTTCGAAACAGGAAGTTTTCTGCTCATACATATCGTAGACTGTTAATGAATATTCTATCTCGCATTCGTTAAGCTTGGCTTCGCTCTTGCAACATCCTGCCACGTTCCTCCTTCCCAACTTCTCACGGGCATGGCGTCTCACCTACTTGAAGATAGCGCCTTGGCACAGCGCTCTTTCCTTGGTGTAGCTGGTGTTCACTCTCACCTAGCTATCTTGTCGTGTGACCATAGTATTCAGAATCCTTCACCGTACAATTTGTCCAACTCTTTCGAATACTTTCCCAGCATATCAACCTTTCTGACACTCCCTTTTGCCGTCTTCAGGAAAGGCTCTTGCGCAACGATAACCATGTCTTTGGTAACCCGTGCGTAAAGCGGTGAGTCCACGTTGACTTCCTCAATTCTTTCCCATACATCATCCAGCTTGAATCCTTCCTCCAGCCTGACGATCAGCGAAGCTTTCGGCCGACGTGTCCCTACAATCAGAGCTTCAGCGATACCAGGGTGCGACGCAATACGCTGTTCAGCGACAGTAGGGAAGAACTTTTCGTTGGAGAGGAAGACCAGCAGGTCGTCTGTACGGCCGTGATGTTTCCACATATCCGGAGATTTTTGAGATCTTAGGAATAGGTCGCCCATGCTTTTCTCCTGGAGGTCAGGAAAGCATCTGAACAAAGGTTGCACATATCCATCCAAGTCCTCACCGTTGTTTCGCACCATAACGGCTTCGTACACTGTTTGACCAGCATCCTCGGAAACAGGGCGGAATTGCAAGTTAAGTGCCGGGTGGGGAGTCACATATTCCCATCTTCCATCAAGTTTCATATCATCGTCGGTTCGCAGGATGGTGGGCCAAATGCCTTGCTCGGTGGACCCAATTCCACAGACTAGATGTGTTCTGTCTACTATGATGTCGCCAGCTGTGCGAGATACACTTCCGCCGCCATATCGCAACGAGTGGCTCCTTTGGACAATCTGATCGAGTTTCGCAGGGTGCTTGGCCACATACTCTATAAACGTCGGCATCACCGACACACAATCTACCACCTTCTGCGATGTCTCAGTCGCACTTCCGCTCGTAACTGTTCTCTCTGTGTGCAGAAATTCTAGAGCCGCTATGGTACGATCCACGTTTGCTTCTGGTGTTGCTCCCGGTTGCGAATAGATGGGTTTTGTGCCCAATAGCAAAGGGTACAGAACCATATTAAAGATTCCGCTTGCATGAAAGGGAGGACCAGTCACCAGTAATCGCCCTCGCTGATCATTTTGGTAGCGTATATGATAGTCATGACGGGTAAAACCGGCTGGTAATGGGAGGTTGAGTGTCTGCGATTGACTTGCAATCCAGTCGTGTGTCCACAGTACTGGCTTAGGAAATCCCGTTGTGCCGGATGTATCTGCGTTGCCAAAGGTAAGCTCTTCATTCTCAGTCGCTTTTTCAAGCAGCAAGTTAAAGCAAGTGAAAGTATGTTGTCAACTTACGTACACATATCGCAGGCTCGTCTTTACAAGTCGCAAACGTCTTGGTAAAAGGATATGCTGCTACTCTCTCTGCGAACAGCTGATCCACACTTGGTGCTTGAAGTTTTGTTATCCCACCTTTGCTCTTCTCTAAGATCTCTGCTTCGACAGGATACGGCGTCTCGGGGCTCAGCAGGACTTTCGCATCTATGGTTTCGATCAACTTTCCCAAGGCTTCAGATCCATACCGTGGCGAAGGGAAGAGCATCTATCATTTCCTATCAATCCTGTTTCTAACAAAGATGGTGAGAGTAATGGACGACAGGCTTACTTTGTATCCAGCAACTACACTCCCTAGACATAACACTGCATACCGGATATCGTTTGGCCCCATGTATACCAATGTCTTATTTCCATTCTTTTGCTCCTCTGCTAGCTTCCCTACGTTTTGGTCGATCCACCACGCAAACGCATTGACGGCATTAGCTACCTCTGCAAATGTGAACCTGCGATATCCTTTCGATATATCATCGGGATCACGCGGAAACCAGGCATAATAAAGAGAAGGGTACTGGTCAGCAATCGAAGACAGAAGAGCTGGAAGCAGAGTATGATGGCGGATTGGCCAGGAGTTGGGACGAGCTGACATGATTATCCTGAAATGATTTGAGTGATAGTCAACAATGAAACAAAAGAGCTTGTGGTTCAACAAGTACATATATACACAAAGAAACAAGAACATCGATAACGTCAATATTACCAAGGTAATACATTAGCTTTCTGGGACGATGACATGTAAGCATAGTACCCCGCACAGGATGCTGGGTCCTCCTTGTGCAAAACCATATGTCCAGTACTACCCCATAGGTACATCGTGACAGCGCATCTTGGCGCGTATGTACTACACAGGGTACGTATTCCGTACACTGTACAACCTGCCATGGATTTTGGCCTTGTGTGGACCCAAGCTAGCAAGGTTACCCCAATCACCTTGTTCACAATTGCCGAGATATTACCTGCAACAGCAAACGTTAAATTTAAAGTTCGTCGCATTCGAGAGGGTTACGTAAACCTTGGAACCGTTCATTCCGTGTGTTTAGTTCAAATCCTCGTATACGCGTGATAGGGCTACGTATGATATGTGCGCCTGCGCCTGGTATCCGATGACTAGTGTAAGCACTAAAAACTGTGGGTACGCTTCACATGTTCTGAGGTCCCGCAAGGATGTCACTATATGGTTTTTCTTTTAAACAAGGATATTACAAAGCGCTGACATGTAAGTGCATTGACTCGGGCGGGACTTGTAAGAGCAACGAATCGGCTTTTCCGTTCGGCAATTGTAGGTTTAGTATGTACATGAGATTAATCAAAAAGCTTTTCTTTCCCTCTAGCTCTGACGTGGTCTTTAAACGTTTCCGGATAGTTGCTGTTTCCATCCTGCAGGACAAGTACCTGTACAAGCCAGTCCACTGTCGCTGTTGAAATTGCTGCAAAGGATCTTGGATTGCCCGCCATTCATTGGCTTGATGTTGATATCCTTGAACTGGAGACCCGTGCAAGGCGTGCTCTTACTGCAATAGATGGCCGCGGCGACATTGTACCTCGAGGTACCCGTGATGTTTTGCCAAGTAATGTCGGAGATTTTGAGGTGCGAATCATCGCATTTGTTGTACGTGTAGATGCACGGTGTGACGTATATGGGCTGGTTGACATCGACTATGTGGAAGTTGCGGAATGTCACATTCCTGACGTATCCTTGGCCTGGGTACGTCTTAATCCATGCAGCGTTGGAACTGTACAAGGCTTGGATATCTTCGAAGACGACGTTTTCGACTGTCTCGGGGATGTTGGGTGGGTTGCCCATGGATCCGATGACCATGGCGCCTGAGCCGTTGCATGTGGCGTTCTTGACATAGACATTTGTGCTGTTTCCTTTGATGGAGATGCAGTCCTAGGAAGGAACGGTCAGACTTGTGTATATGGTGAGGCAAGATCGACGGGGGAAGACTTACATCGCCGCAGGTAACAACCCAGTTCTTGAGTACAATGTCCCGTGAGTTCCAGCTGTCGAAGCCATCGGTGTTGACGGTGCCCCACTGCGAGTCGGAGACGGCCTTCATGTCCAAGTTTGTCATTGTGATGTTTTGCGAGTAAGCGACAAATGTGTGCCTGTGATGTTAGGAACAATGCTGGTTCAAAGGTAGAGCACTAAAACTTACCAGAATTGCACCTTTCTCCAAGTGATTCCGTCAACCACGGCGTTCTTCGCATGCCATAGGGTCAGGCTGATAGGCCTACCAGCCATGTTGGCTCCATTTTTGTTGGCGTCGTACCACACCTGGCCGTTGCCATCAAACAACGCCTGGCCATGGCCCAGAACCGAGAAGTTCTCGCCTCCCAAGCGGAATGCCGTGCTTCTCTGCTGGAAGACGACACTGACACTGTTCTTAACCCAGTATTGGATATCGGGGGTCCAAGTGAGTTTGCCGCGGATATTGATCTCACAATTTTTGAGATTGAGGACGTCGATGACTTTGCCGATGGTGAAGTTACCGGCTGTGATGTCAATCCTTCCGTTTTGCCCACACTGCTTGAAGGCATCGAGGATGGAGTCGCTATCATCAGCTGATCCTGAGGGGGTGACCGTGCATACTGAGCCCACCTTGGTCATGGCACTCAAGGCCGGTGTAGCAATCAGGCATAGCTGTGCAAGCTTGGTCAGAAGCATCTTGAAAACGAGTGAATGAATGGATCAGTGAGTGATAAGCTTTTACAGGGCATAGCTTGGCTATATATCAAGACTTAGTAGAAAGGCTTAGTACTGAGATGCTGGGGTCCCTGAGGTGGAGGTATGCCTGCAAATACCTCCGTTGCACAGTGCCTATACAGAAAGGGGAAATTCAAGTACGATCATTTGGACATTGACAAGAGGCTATTGGTGCGAATACTTGACTAGTGTCCCGTACTCCGCAGAGTCAGCCAATTTACCCAGTCAGTGCTCGGCTTTTTAGGAGCTGGCAATTTATCTGATAGTGTCTATTTCGTTCTCTAGGTTCTGGAAAGAGTTTGATGCCGCACCACGAGCAGGCATGGCCGTTTGCAATTAGTGCAAATAATGGCACATGGCTGTCCGGAGGCACTGTGAAACATTCTAGTCAGATATTAGCTGGTTACAGGTCGTGTCAGAGTGTCAGAGTAAGCGGCCAGGCGACAGCAGGATAGCAGATTGGCGTGATAAGAACCTAAGAATAACCAAAGAGACAACAAAAAGGTCTGTAAGCGACAGGTACGGGAGTCTGACAGATCTGAGGACATGGATGTTGGGTGAGCAGGTCAAGGGGTCTTGCGGCAAGGCATGTTAGGGTAGAAACGGGACGGGATGCCAAGCCCACGTCACTGGATGTTTCCGAGATTCGCGGCTCCAAACACCCGTAACTTGTAGTTTGTACAATCGTTCATCCGAGCGATTGCCCAGCCATTGAAAGTCGCACGGGCTGCGCACGACACTCTTGATGATGAACAGTGCCGTCAGCCTGCGGGCTCTGCGCGTCCGGCCCTCGATACCGCGTCATCGCCTGACCCATCGCTCGCTGTTGCAGACACCGACGAGATATGCTACTACATCGACAACGGCCACCGAAGCCGCGACAAATGTCCGATCGGCTGGGACCCGCACGAAGAACTTTATTTACGGAACTCTATTGGCCGTGGGGGGAACGTTTGGATACCTGTACGTTACGGACACGCGCGCCAGTATCCACCAATGGCTCCTCGTACCTGCGCTACGAGTGATATACCCAGACGGCGAGGACGCACACCACGCCGGCACCCGGATGCTCAAGGTGTTGCATAGTTTTGGAATCAATCCTAGGGAGCGTGGCGTAGCCGACTCGCAGGGTGACCTGGCAGTCGAGGTCTTTGGTCACACGTTGAACAACCCCATTGGAACATCTGCGGGCATTGACAAGGGCGCCGAGGTTCCAACGCCACTGTTCGATCTGGGCGCGGGTGTAGTCGAGGTTGGAGCTATCACATTAATGCCGCAAGAAGGCAACCCCAAGCCGCGTGTCTTCAGGATCCCCAGCCAGAACGCGCTCATTAACCGCTATGGATTCAACTCAGAGGGCGCAGAGCTGGTTGCTTCAAGACTTCGACAACGCGTGCGAGAGTTTGCATATCATGCTGGCCTGGGGCTCGACGAGGATGCCGAACGACGGGTGCTAGATGGTGAGGCTGGTGTACCGCCTGGCTCGCTTCACAAAGGGCGCCTCATGGCCGTGCAAGTCGCAAAGAACAAGACGACTTCTGAGAACGACATTGAATCCGTCGTTCGCGACTATGCCACCGCCGTTGGATACGTAGGAAAGTATGCGGATATCCTTGTAGTCAACGTCTCGTCGCCCAACACCCCAGGCCTCCGTACCCTCCAAAATGTCGAACCGTTGACAAAGCTTCTCTCGGGTGTTATTAGCGCCGTCAAGAAGATTGACCGTAAGACCAAGCCCGCCGTCATGGTCAAGGTCAGTCCAGACGAAGACTCGGAAGAACAGATATCAGGTATTTGCGAGGCCGTGTGGGACTCTGGTGTCGATGGTGTCATTGTTGGTAACACAACCAAGAAGCGGCCAGACCCGCTTCCTAAGGGCTACTTTCTGTCTCAATCAGAGGCCAACATTCTACTTGAACAGGGTGGATACTCGGGCCCCCAGATGTTCGAGCGCACTCTGGCTCTGGTAAAGAAATACCGAAAGGCACTTGATGAAGGCCCAAAGCACATCACCCTCCCCACGCAACCTGAAGAAATCAAGCCTTCCGCTGAACAAGGCTCAGGTGACGACTCAACCAAATCCTCGATGACCAAGGCCACCCTCGGTCTCGACCAACCTGCTCCTAAACCCGCATCTTCAGATTTTGACGACATCTCCGAATCTGCACCTCTTGTCACCCTGCAATCTACACCCAAGGTAGCGCCTGCACCCGACGCCCCACGTAAGGTCATTTTCGCAACCGGAGGAATCACCAATGGCCGACAGGCACGTGAAGTTCTCGACGCTGGTGCAAGTGTAGCACAGGTCTACACTGCCATGATTTATGGCGGTGCAGGCACGATTACTAGGATCAAGCAGGAGATGAGGGACGATGCCAAGGCACAAAAGACCATTACTAAGTCTTAGTATATGGAACTCATTAGTGACGATTGGTGTTAGACCATATATGTTGTTTATACCAAGATTTCAAGCGTGTTTACTTTAGCTTAAATAAAAATAGACGTGTACCATGTTTCCAAAGAAAGTAAAAAGTAATCCTTGTTCCCTAGTTCGCAACTCGAAGGTTATATGTACACCAATCCCAAAACACCAAAAAGGACAAGCCATATATATACACATGTCTCTTCTGCTCTTTTTCCGTAAGCTTAAGCGGCTTAAGCACCAATCTTGCTCTCAAGGAACTCCGGCGCAGGACCCGCAGCTTCATCAAAGTAGGTAAAGTGCGCGGCGGTAACGGTAAGAGTACCAGAGCACACCAAATCACCCATGGCGCAGAACACCTTTACGTTATCAGCAGGGTACGACTGGATGCCGCCATTGTTCTGCTTGTTCTTTGTGTATCCGAACAGCACAACGCCCTTGACCTGGGCGCGAACGGTCTCGGAGAGCTTGGGAATTGCGCCGGCGATGACCGCAGTACCTTGACTATTCCTTGTGTTAGAAAAAGATGTACATATTGAAATTCTGGGAAAGGGGACGGGGGAAGGGAAGAAGAGTGGTATTTACCTGTAGCCACCCGACACAACGGGAGTCTCGGGGCACTTCTGGTTTGCGAGCTGGAACATCTTGACGGCTTCGTCAATGGCGCCTTGAGAAGTACCGGCTGGTAGGGCGTTGGAGAGCAAATCGGCGGCGTAGGGAGCACCGACGCCTTGGACCCAGACGCTATCTGCGCCGTATTTGCTCTTGAGCTCCCTTGCGACAATGGGGCCGGTGGAGGAACCCTAGTGACTTTTGTGAGTACTGATGTTTCGTTACTGGAATTGATTGCATGTCTGGACTTACCATGTTTCCGGACTCGCCGCTAGCTCGGGCGAATATGAAGATAGCCTTGGGGCAGGCGCCGGCCTGGCCTTGCTGGAGATCGTTGCTGGTGCTGGAGCCGAGTTGACGGGCTTCGAGGGCGGTCTCGGAGCGTGTGGTAATGGGTGATGCTACCGCCAGGGCAGTCATCATGGAGAGAGTGAGAAACTTCATCTTGATAGTATATGACGAAGAGCAATTATAAGTTGAAATGGTATGTAGAAGCGAATGTAGTCGGCAGTGATAAAGATATCAAGTGAGCTGTGCCTTGATATCCGTTTCGTTTCACGCAAAGGGCACAGATATATATACACACATTCATCTTCACCCTGCCACACCATGTCATACATCCCGACTCGTTGGTTTCCCAAGATACCCACTCACACTGTAGTACCCTAACCTCGGACATCGGGCAAGGAAAGAAAGGAGTTTCGTGTATCACTGGGTTTACGCGGACTAGGCAACGCTGATCCCCGGACAAAAAAGCACACTAAGACTGACCTTCCATCAAATAACGAGGCTATGGTGCCAGTGGGGCGTAGGCACCTCAGAATAGTGATTGGATGGTGTCCTCGTGCCAGACGGGCGCCTGTCACACCAGCCGTTACGACACCAATGGCTGTGCGCCCGGAGAATAGAGTTTACATGACATATTGACACTGCACGCCGTTCAATCGGGGAATGAAAAACGGTAAAAAGCAAGTAAATGGGTCCATTTTCTTTGCTTTTTGCTTCGAGAAAAACGGCTCGCCTAAGGGGGCGTGTCTCGTATATCGTACTATCGAGTCTATGACAGGATTGGTAGATTCCAGCCCAGTGGGTTCGTGAAGGGATTTGTAAGTTGATGTGTGTATTTGTATGAGACTGGGTTTGTAGATCATCTGCGACACACAAAAGCAATGTGCCTCGGTCCAAGAAGAGAAGAGTGCATGATAGGAGCAGGACAGGACGCCGGTAGTCGCCCGTTATCGTCCGCACCAGGCTAGCGGTCCACATATAGCAATGCCGTTCACAACCCATGTAGAAAATCCTCCGTGTCGCATGAGACGTACGAACACGCTATTCGTCATGGCAAAGTCACTGCGCTACCAAATAGCTAGTCATTCAGAAGGTATGTCCATCGGACATCAAAAGAAGGCAATCGTGATTCTGTCCACCATCAGTACTTGTCTAAAGCACCGTATGCACATATGTCCAAATCCGTAATGCCCCGGGGACAAACCGGCAAGTGTAGCCGAGGCGCATATCTATGTTAAAGTATCCGCTGATCGACTCAAGCACAGCTCTCTTGCTTGGGAATAGTCTTGTCATTGCCAAGTCCGCAATGCAACAACCCTTTAATCAGACTTCCCCCTCCTTCCTTCAGAAAAAAAAAAGACCTAGACCCATATCCGCGTGTTGCCGCGGAATCTACGCGATATGACGGGTTGAGAAAAAGAAAAGAAAACCTGCCTCAGATGCGCCCCATCGACGAACACCAGGTGGGTCCTTGCAAATCGCGACAAATTGTCTCAGGTAGATAGGACTCCTCAAACATCACATGACTGCTTTGAGATTGTTGTGCAGATGCGGCACCGCGGAGTGAATGGCTTGGCTATTCTGAATCATGAGCGATCGACCTACATGGACGTCGGCAATGTAGATCGCCAGGGCTAGTAGTGGCATTCTACCCGTAGTCCATGATGATCAGGAGCGAAGGAGGACAGGGGCTTACTAAATACGACTGCATCTAAAGCAAAACTGCCGAGGCTGTTTCCTTATTCACCGATGCAAAGGATTAATTAGGAAAAGGAACATTGTCAAACGGCCAATATAGTATTAGCTCGAAGTTTTGCTACACTGGCGATCTGGCGGCAAGAAGACCAAGATAGGTGAGAGGCCCCGCTGGCCCAACTACCAAATAGACATTAGAATTAGTACCTCCATCGTCTCGACCCCATCTGCTTGACCCACTCAGCATCCCTCTTACTCAGCTCGACTGCACTTCTCTTCTTCTTGTCACCGTGTCCTATATTAGCGGCTGTGATGTTTCCACACTCGGGTGTCTTGAGTCGCTGTCCGAATTGATCAACGGCCCAGATCAGCACTCCGTTCGACCAGCCAAAGCCTTCGACCACTTCGTACTCTCCGCCTCCACCAGCAGCATTGGTGCTCGCGTCCGAATACTTTTCGAAGATCGTCCCGTTACCTTGGGAATTGGGCAGCTGGGCGACGTCCGCTGTTGCTCCACCAGTCACACGCCAAGTGCAGTACAGAGAATCGAGATAGCGTTGTGCGAGTTGGAGGGCGAGATCTTGTGTCCAGACGTAGTCTTCGGTCGTTTGCTCGTCGTCTTCCTCACCGACCTCGAGTGGCGTGTTCAACAGACCCTGCATAAGGATATATTGTAGTGGGGGCCAGACGTTTGGCTTGTCCCATTGTTGACCAGTCACAAGATTTGTTGCTGCAATGGCGCCGTCTTGTGTTTCCAAGAGTTCCTCAATCCGGGCGTATACCCGCCGCATGGCCTTTGGATCATTCTTGATGCTGTCTGGTGCAGCGCCAGTCCAGAATGGATAGAACTGGGAGATCTCAAACCATACCTGCAGGCCCTCTGGTGCGCCCTGGAGCGAAAGGGGTGTACTAGTGTTATCCCTGAGCGTATAGATGTTCTTGCTGCTAGATGTAAGGTTGTAATCAAAGTAGCTATAGTGTTCAGGAGACCACAAGAACGTTGTCATGGCCTCGCTACGCTGTGCAGCTCGTTCAGCCCATGCTCGTGCAGCGCTGTAGTTGCCTTGGTGGCGATGGAACTCCGCAATGGTTATCTCGTTGTGGTACAGGATCGAGTTCAACTCTACTGGGATGATCTCCTTGGTGTTGAGGGAGCGAAGTGGGAAATATGTATCGGTAACAGCATCAGAAGGGTTTGCGATCCAGCGAGCAGAATAGTCCCACCCGCTTTCAGCACCTGACGCTAGATTGGAATAGAGCGTAGCTTTCTCAGAGTCGGTAAGTGGGGTCGTAACGTTGAACTTTTCGCCTTCCTTGTTGAAGTAGGTTTCATTGTTGGCAGTCACATAGTCCTCATAGAAGGATTCCGGTCGTGGTTGAGTATTCGATACGGCGTAGTGATTTAGCGAGTAGTTCCTACCGGCGCGTTCAAGCGTTACCGTACGATTAGTGACCCAAAAGTCATACTCTTGCTCGAGGATAGGCAGAGCACGTTCCAGCAACGTGTAGTTTTGCGTGTACTCTACATAAACGCGAACCATTTGGGTGAGAAGTGGTGGCTGTGATCGGTTTTCATAATATCGTCGAGCGCCATTGGGCACAAAGCCGATATCTTCGACAAGATCCAGGAAATTTTCAATGATATTCTCAGCGATTTGAGTGAATGATCCTTGAGTACGGAGAAGGCCTTCAATGATCCAGAACGAATCCCAGTAGTACGGCTCTCGGAAACGCCCACCTGCGACCACGAAGGTGCGGTTCACAGGGATGAATGAGTTTACGCAGCCAGTGCAATTTCCAGCTCCAACATATCGACGTGTCAGATCTGGCCAGATATCTATGACCTGGCGGGTGAAATCAGCTACGGTGGAGCTGTTGACGTTGTCGAGGAAGTCTGGCTGAGTCTCTAGCTGATCCGTGGGTACTTCCTCAAGTTCAGAGCCAGCTTTTCCAAAGTACTTGGACAGAAAATCATTGAGTACGGTGTCGTTCTTGATAGGCCGAGGAAGATTGGCGAAAGCAGCGAGGACTTCGTCTAATGGGCGTATTGTTGGCCTACGCTTCGTCAGAAGGTATGATAGGCATACGTTCTTGGCAGTACTCACAAGTCAACGAACGTCTTCGAATCCGTAAATGGTCTTGCAAGCTCAATCTCGCGGAGCAAATCACCATAGCAGTATATGGGAGAGTCGCAAGGCGCGATCACACTGCCATTAGTGTACAATGCATTTGCCAGAGGTGCCGCTGCCACAAAAGCTTTAGCCAACAGTCGTAACGAAGCCATTGTTTCGAGGCCAATTTTTCACCGCAACGAAAGCAAAGAGATCCCAAACGAATAATTCACGCGCCTCAGCCCCCTTTTAGCTTTTCGGCCGTGCAAGATAGGCCTGCAAAGAAACCTGCCATTGTAACCGCGAAACCCGGGTAGTTGACCGGTCTGTACACGTACGTGGCTGGGCGGTACAGCCGGAGATGCATCATTTATCCTTGGCAATTTCCCTAAGAAGTACTAAGTTCAACAATCGGACGTCAGCAAGGTTGCGCCGAAAGTGTTGGCCTGCATGGCCAATGTTGAGAAATGGGGGAATGATAGGGGTTTCCCCGCAAAATGGCTTCTGACGGCTGTCGGCAACATCTTAGTATGATGTCATCGCCGTCAGTCCCGACGCTGAACCACGGAACGCTGAGATCGGCTCAGGTACCTGGTCGGCGTCTCTTGCATTCTGCAAAAAAAACTAAGTTAGAAAGCACTGAAAGTCTTCTGAAAAACACCGTCTACAGCTTTCGAGACAATATCATATTGGTGCAACGAGTTTAAACGTGACCGCACATCCCGTCGGATGCTGCCTTGACTCGCACCACGGGCACTATTATGTCATAAAAATAAGGTCGGGATCTTGGATGGGAATTCCACTAAGCCGCGGAATATCGGTAGATATCTGCTTTTCCACGCACTGATCTCAGCGTAGTCTGGACGCCACACGACAGAGTAGGCAGCTTACAGCAACCAACCAACCAAGATCGCTATCATGCTACTCTAGTTCGGATTATGCAATGCAAAATCCGGCTAGCAAGTCATTTGTCAAGAGAAACTGAATTTGTGGCGTGGAGAAGGCCGTGAGAAAGGGATGACCATATTTTTGGTATAGCTCCGAGGAACCATAAGGGATTGTAAATTATTTACTTACTCCCACGCCTTGTGTCAGCTGACACGGAAATCTTCGCATTTTCACTGCTCACCACCTCAAATTTTACCCAAATGATAAACTTTATGCGAAAACCCTGACGCGTATAGGCCGGTCAACCAACAGCACATCTTCATATCTCGAGGTTCTTGTGGTGCGCATTCGACCAGCTTACTCCCACACAAGCTCAATCTTACCACCCTTGACTTTCGAATTGAACCACTCATAAATCTCCACCTCCTTTTGAACTGCTCTTGCTCCATCCAAGACCCCAGTCTTGGCCAATCTCTCGGTCGCAAACTGTAACTCCATGGTAGCCAAGTTTCTAGCGATGCACGCTCGACTTCCCGCACCAAAAGCAAACCAGGATTTTGACATGTCTTCAGTGGTGTTCAACCATCTTTCTGGAATGAACTCTTGGGGCTGGGGAAAGACTTCAGGATTGAAGTGCAGTTCGTATGCCGAACAACCAATGAGTGAGCCAGCGGGGAAGTAGGTTCCCTTGAATGTCCAACCACCAGCCGGTACGACGTGAGGTAGGCGCGTAGGGTTTGCCATGCTAAGCCGAAGACCTTCTTTGACGACAGCGTTGAGATAAGGAAGTGCCTGAGCGTCCTGCGCATCGGGTCCCAGGGCGGCATTCTTGGTAAACTCCTCCTTTAGTCTTTGATACTTTTCGGGATGCAGCACAAGGCTGCGCATTATCGTAGCTAGATTCATGCCTGTAGAATCTGTCCCAGCGAAGATGAGATCTTTGCACTGCGCTCTGACTTCTGAATCGCTCAGCCCTATTGCCAGCAAACGTCCCGGGTATGTCGTTGATTTCGAGGTCGTATTCCCAACCAGTGTAGCAACAAACTTGTCGACCAGTGACATGCTATCGTCTGTCTCGCGATCAGGCGCCCATTTTTCTACAGCCCATTCTAGCCAAACAAATGCAATGTTTGGAAGGTAAAAGAAGCGGCCTACTGCCACAAACGCATCCACAAATGCGCTGACACTCAAAACCGGCCCTTTTTCGCTAACGCCGTCATAGTTTTCTCGAAATAGGTGGGTAGATACCGCATCGACCGCCAAGCTTCGTGTGAGATTGAGCACATTGACAGGTCTCTTTGTCTTTGCTTCTTCCTTCAGTCGGTCCACCATACAGTTTACACATCCCCATATAGCCTGTTCATTCTCACGCAAAGACTTGGTTGAAAAGAGTGGCAGTACTGCTTTCGCCCTGTGAGCCCTATAATCCTGATTGGTAGTGGAAAAGATAGTTTTGTGGCCATCAATGTCAAAGTTTGCGTAGCATTTTGCTTTCGGGAAACCCCCTTTCGATACGTATATTGCGGGTATGCCATCGGCGTCACTCAGGTCAACCTCATTGGGTGAAACTCGGACGTATGGACCGTATTGTTGGTGAAGCTTGTGAATGACGCTTGCTTCATCACCGATGTAAGCATGATAGTGGAGCCAGAGAGATGTCAACTTGGACAATATGGGCCCGGGAATATGTGCAAGCGGATGAAAGTAGACGCGGTAGATTGAACGAATGAATAGTATAAGAAAAGGAGTCAGAGTGACTGCCAAGGCCACGTGAGCGCCTATGACACCAAATATCAAGTCTTGGAGCGCCATTGAGGTGTAGAATGTAGGAACACTACAACGAGGCTCTTGCGGGGCCTCTTAGCCTTATATAGGCGGTGGTTGGTTGAGTCACTGTGATGGTCAGTGGGGCATACCTATCAGCTGCGATAAGCGGAAATAAGGGCCCTCCCACCATCTCGTACTCCCAACAACTTCTGTTCATCCTTGCAGTTCATTACAATTCAAAATATACTCTACCAGTCTCAGTCAAGTGGTTATCGGAATGACTATTCCGAATTGTCGTGATCCTCACCCAAATATCATGGTACCTTCTGCAGCACTATTAAGGCTAGGTCGAGCAGTCAATGTCACTTTACTTCGTCAGCATCCGATTACAATGAATACATATGACCATCTACTCAGTATCTCGATAACCGGGTACATAGATTCAGTAGAGAACTAACCCATTTCTACGATTTCCTACAACAAAGGAACACAGAAATAAGGTGCAATTCCTACCGATCTTACTACTCAGCCCGAAAACCAAAACAGAAATCTCTGGGAAGGAAAACCCCCTGTATCCAAGACCAATTCCAATCCATCAACAGCTCAGATGGCAACTCTACTCCCCAAGATGCTATTTCGTCGTCCAACAAGCTTTGTCTTAGCGTTCAACATAAACACCTACATCGCGTTAGCCTCAACACAATCGACCCTTCTCGAACAAAACGTAGAGAAACTTACTGTCGACATTAGGGTTGTAAACGACCTTATACTGGTCGTTCTTGAGATAGCACATGCCACCATCCCAAGCCCCAGCAACCCAAGTCGCAGCAACGCAGCCCTTCAAGATCGAGCACAGATTTGCGCACTCACTAAGAGTCTTGGACTGTGAAATACCAATGTCGCCACCATTGAAGTCGTAGTTACAGCGACTAATATAGGACTGGCCATTGGTCTTGAAGCGGCAGTAGTCGTCGTTAGGACATTTGATCTCGGTCTCGCAGACGGAGCTGCCGGGAGCAGGCTCCAGCTCGGTCGCTGGCTTGGATTGGGTGCCAGCATTGACGTTGTCGGTTCTTCATGGTGATCAGTTGTGGGTATGGCGGTGCTAAGGGTGTACCTACGATATACGGGGCACGCCAAAGTCCTTGCCGAGAAGGTAGCAAAAGTTGTCCTTCATGTTGAAAGCAGTGCAGTGCGTGTGGCGAGCGCATGCATCGGCGCAGTCAACAAAGATGTTGGCCTACATCGCGTGTGGAAACTCGTGAGTATTTTTATTTCTCCTTGCAAATATTTGAGGCTGGATTTACCTGGGCAATGCCAACGATGGGACCACTGAAGTCAATGGCGCAGTTCAGTTTAAAGACACCGCCATTAGTGGCAGTGGAGACACAGCCGTTCCATCGGGGGCAGGTAGGCTGAGCAGGACAGTTCTTGTTCTGTCGGGAATCAAGTACCGCAAGAGCTGCCGTAGCGTTAACCAGTATGCCGTACTGGAATGCATGGTTAGAAGTGCAATTGATTGGAAACTTCTCGTACTTTCGTGTTGATCAAACAGTTTCATGCGATTATACGGAGCCGAATAGACATTGAGGTTCTTACTCACCATCTTGAAGTAGTCCAAGAGAATAGATCAGGAAACTGTGCTGGTGAGGATAGGCTTCGAAGTGAACAAACCAACTACGAGCACAAAGACGCATTATATACACATGAAGGCTGTCTCGCCCCTTGATCATTGTAGTCACCTCAACAGATATGCCAGTAAGTCAACTAATTTACTACCATGGATCACAGTGGTCCGGAGCGAGTGAGATGTGTTTGAGCACTCAAGAATGACAACGATCATAACCAGACTTCAGGTTGAGAAACTATGACGCGACAGAATAACGTCTAAATTCCTTGAACCCTTTATATGATTTCAGAACTCCAGCTACTATTAGCAAATAATGTGCCTGGTTTTGAGTAATCTAGGGTGTAGCCGCCCCGTATATAGGCCCACCGAAAGTACTCATTCAACCCACTATTCACATCTCTCTTCCATTCAAAGATATCCCAAAGACCATCACCTTCATTGTCATAGAAGGCACGGGCGCGCTCCACATCGTTTACAAGGACGCTCATACCGTCAACGTCAGGTGGGTGCGTAGTAAAGTTGAACGTCACAAATAGAGCATCATTTTCTACCTCAATGAGTGGTTCCATTATCTGCGGGACCACCGACTCGAATTTTGCATCGGCACGCAGAGCTGCAGAAGTTTGCAACACGGAATCGAAATCCCATCGCGCTATGCCGTTCAAAAAAAGACCGAGCAAGAGACCTTGAAAGAACAGCGAAGGCCGCGTCTGGAGACTCGTCCCGGGAAGTAGCAAAAGTGCCAGAATGTAATGGTGGATCCGCAAGTTGACACCTGGAATCATCAGACAGACAATGATTGCCAGGATGAACAGGCCATACAGGCCCAGATAGCGGATCAGGCGGCCTTCGAGCCAGAAACAGTATGCCTGACCCACTACAATCACAACCAACACCAAGACGATGATTGCCAACGCCAGCTTTGCGCCAGGCTGCTGCTCGAGATCATGAGCGGTGAGTCGCGAAATCGGAATCCAGTCAAACGTATAATTTGACAATGCGCCAATCCAAAAGCCTCCAAGCCAGAACACAGCCTTTTCGATGTGGGCACTCAATCCAGCTAGCGTCCGCTTGATTGTGGTGGAGTACATTACCACCATTACGAACATGGCTGGCAACAGACGCTTTGCGAACATTGAAATGTGATCTGGCAAGACTGTCGTATTGAGATGCAGTGCCGGCGGCGGGTCGGAGACGAAGCTCACATGAGCGAAAATCAGTGTGAAGATGGGAAAGAAAATTTTCGGCGAAGAGGAAAATATGGCGAGTACAACTGTAGAGAGGATCGTGATGGGGAGCAAGGCTGAGCGGGGATCAGCTGGTGGCCGAAATCCGTCGTCGAACACGACAGAGAAGGAGAGCGGAAAGTACGAGTCGAAGGGAATAGACTCGATACCATGGTGCTTTGTGCCAGCAAAATTGTCATGGCCTCCCATGAGCTTGATACGGCCACCGCCGCCTCGGTGGTCATCGACAATCCCCGCGTGGATAGCTGCGGCGCATAGAAAGCTGTCACCGCGATAAAGTCCCGTTCCGACGACCAAAGGACGGTAGTTGACTTGAAGCGGTCCAACGGTATGCGGATTCAGAAGCTGTACATCTCTGCACTTTGCCGGGCATTGGAAAGCAAAGGAATGGTTGCTAAACGGACGACAGTCGATGCCGTCGATTCCGCATTCATTCTTGCGTTCCCACAATGTATCGACGCAACCTAGGCTGATTACATTGTTGCCATCGCCATCCTGCAGCGGCAACTGGGCAGTCAGAAACCAGGTGAAGATAAGGAGCCAGGGAAGTAGCACGGCAACGAGTGAGATGGGCCTGTTGAGTCGCTGGCTTTCAAGCCACTCGACCGGGCCGTTTTGAATCCATGGGAAATACGGGTCGATGCTTTGAATCCGAGGAGGTTGCGGCCCGCGCAAAAAGTCCAGAAAGCGTTGTCGACGCGTACGTAGCTTTTTTGATGCTGGAGGAACAGTTTCTTCAAAGTCCATCTCTTCTCTTAGTAAGTGTGCCTCTTCATCTCCATCGACCGCGTGGTCTCTGTCGTCGTCGGCCTCATTGTCAAGTTGGGCCTCGGCATCTTCCTTTTGCAGAGGTTTCCGCATATTGATTTCTAGATATTTTGAACGTTACAGAAAAAGAAAAGAAAAGAACTGTCAACAAGAGGATACACAATGACCATTGTGACGAAGGCCCAAGTATTACAGTGAGATGAGACGCGCAGTGGGTCAGTCAGGAGGTAACTAACTCCTTCAGGCATTCCACCGATAGCAGAAACGCGTTTCTTCTCCATGTTCATCCTGGCTGTTATAATTATCTTGCTATCAAGAATCGAATGTGCCGTGAGTTCCGCATCGCGTGATGCTCGTGGGAGTAGAGATATGCTTTCCATAGCAAGTGTACCACCGCCATCTTGGGTCGCGATCAGTGCTGCATACGGACGAGAAAGATTCGGTGCGATTACGACGGTACTGGAGGCCATTTGAAAATACCCGCCGTATATCGTATAGTCCCATCTCCAGATGCGATCAATGAAGCCCTGCTTTACATACAAAAACAACTTCACGGTTCGAAAAGAAACTCTGGGGAAAACTACAATACCCTCCGCACAGACCACATATCCATCCCGCAGCACATCAGCTCGCAAACGACCTAAGGCCACCACCAACGCGTCTCCTTCCCTAAAAAACCCCTCTTTCTCACCCCCAGGAAGCCCTCCCCCCTCAATCGCACAAGAAAGAAAGCAAGAAAAAAATGGAAGCAATCCAAGCCTACCTCCCCCAAGCAGAGGGTCTCCTCCCAAAATGGCTCCTCTTCGTACGTCCCTCTCCTGAACCCCCCCTCTCAGCCCTGCACATAGTACAACCACGCTTTCAAGTCCAAAAATCTCACACGCAAAAAAAAAAAAAAAGTAAACACTAACGCTAACACCCTAAAAAAAATAGGTCTCGGTAATATCCGTCGGAAACAGCATCCAAGCCTACAGCACCCTGGCCTTCACCTCGCGCATCTACAACCCCACGCCCATTGATCCTCCCCCCGTAATCCCCAAGCACGTCACGGCACTGTCGTCGCGCACGTTTGGCACGTGGACGCTGCTTGCGTCGCTGATACGGTTGTACGCGGCGTACAATATCAATGACGCGGCCATGTATCAGCTGGCCATGTGGAGTTATGCGGTGGCGTGGGCACACTTTATGAGCGAGTGGGTGGTGTTTGGGACGACGAGGTGGGGGAAGCCGTTAGTTGGGCCCGTCGTGGTTGCCAATACGAGTTTGATTTGGATGTTTACGCAGTGGGGGTTTTATGTCAAGGCTTAGACAGGAGGGGGGGGCGGGGGTTTAAGGGATTGGTATTAATATCATCATAATGGTTGATGGGATGGTTGAGTTGCTTCTGTTACCTGTGTTGTAAGATTGTTCGTAGCAAAAGCAATTCCTTCACTTGAAATAGTGCAGTCACCTTTTCCATTGACTGCCAGAAGCACAGCGAGACCACGACACATAGCAAAAAAGCCTCCAACCCATCACGCACAATCTGTAGCCTCATTGTGGACTTTTGACCCGCCTCGGTGGCTTGTTTGACCACTCGAGGACTTTCATTGATCGTAGCTGAAGAAACATACATGGCCCATTGGACTCCAGATTCCTCAACCCTGATGCCGAGTTTTGACGACCATATCGAAAACCATTCACGCTCCGCCTCAGCCACATTTCTTTCCTTTGCTGATCATGAACCGTTACACCATCCCTTTTCTAAAATGCATCTAGAACTTGTTGAACTGCTTAGCAGCCTTTCCCTTTCGGGGGAGGACACGGAGGACGTTGAAGCGGACGGTCTTGGAGAGGGGCCTGCACTGGCCAACGACGACCTGGTCACCGGGCTCGACACGGAAAGCGGGCGAGACGTGAGCGGCGAGGTTCTTGTGGCGCTTCTCGTAACGGGAGTACTTGGGGATGAAGTGGAGGTATTCACGGCGAATGATCAAGGTGCCTGAAGTTCGTTAGTATCAAAATGCTCCCAAATCCCTGTAATTTCGCCTTGTCGAGCTCTTCTTTTTTTCTAAATCGCATCTCCAGGGCTTGAGAAGGAGTTGACGTACGGTGCATCTTGGTGGACATGACGGTACCGGTGAGGATACGGCCACGGATGGAGACCATGCCGGTGAAAGGGCACTTCTTGTCGATGTAGGTACCCTCAATGGCAGTCTTGGGCGTACGGAAGCCCAGACCAACGTCCTTGTACCATCTCCTGGAGCGGGTGTTCTTGCGCGGTCCGCCGACCTTGTGGTTAAGGAAGATGTGAGGCTATCGCATCGCGTTAGTATCGAGCATGTGGTCGAATCGCGCAGTGGACGTCTAGTACCTGCTTCTGGAAAGCGCGCTCCGACTGGACACTGTTTTTCGCAGTCAGCAATTGTCGATGTCGCTCGTTTTATCGCAGCACGTACGTGAGTTCGGTGGCCATGGTTGCGGATCGGGTGGTTTGTCGTGCTTTCGTTGTCGGTCGTTCATAATTTCCACTATGGACTCGCTTAGGAAGTGTCCATGGGCGACAAGTTTTTCCGGCCCCGGTGGCTAGTGCTGCGCTAGTTCGCCCACCAACCTCGGCAGGGCTTAGGGCCAAGAGGGACTGGTAGGACCAACAGAGGGGAACTTTGTTATTGTTAATACTGAGCATTGTCCCGTCGCTTGTCCGTAGCACTCTCTGTTTTTGCTACGATTCGGTGCCATCATGGGAGCCCTCACCGAGACCTTTGGTGTGCATATTGATGCCAGCAACTCGTTCGTGCAAGCAGCCGTTTATGGCTTCTTGCTCGTAGGCATTGCATCTTTTGCAGCACCCGTCATCAGCACTGTCCGAGTCCTCCTCAGCTTGTTTGTGCTGCCAGGCAAGTCGGTATGCAATTTCCCACTTCATCTCAGCGAGCACTGAGCAATTCTGACCCCGCCACCAGCTCAGTACCTTCGGACCCCGCGGTACCTGGGCCCTCATCACTGGTGCCTCGGACGGCATTGGCAAGGAATTCGCCCTGTCCCTCGCAGCCAAAGGCTACAACCTCATCCTCGTCTCGCGCACGCAATCGAAGCTGGACTCCCTCTCCGCCGAAATCACCTCGAAATATGGCCCCAAGATCGCCGTCAAGACGCTGGCCATGGACTTTGCCCAGAACAAGGATGCCGATTACAACAACATGAAGAAGCTGATTGAAGGCCTCGATGTCAGCATTCTGATCAACAACGTCGGACTGAGCCACAGCATTCCTGTGCCATTTATCGAGACACCCAAGCAAGAAATGACGGACATCATCATGATCAACTGCATGGCTACACTACGCGTGACACAGCTCGTCACTCCCGGCATGGTCTCTCGCAAGCGCGGTCTGGTCCTAACCATGGCTTCCTTCGGAGGCTTCTTCCCCACCCCGCTCCTCGCAACCTACTCTGGCAGCAAAGCATTCCTCCAGCAATGGTCCACGGCCCTCGCATCCGAGCTAGAACCCCACGGCGTCTACGTGCAATGTGTCCAGTCTCACCTGGTGACCACGGCCATGTCCAAGATCCGCAAGACATCTGCCCTCGTGCCGAACCCAAAGCAATTTGTCAGTGCTACGCTGAGCAAGGTTGGCAGGAGTGGAGGCGCGCAGGGTGTGGCGTTTACAAGCACGCCTTACTGGAGCCATGGTCTCATGCACTGGTTCCTCTCGCGCTTCTTGGGTGAGCGCTCGCACACGGTTGTCAAGGTCAACCGAGGCATGCACGAGAGTATCCGAAAGCGTGCGCTCAGGAAGGCTGAGCGTGAAGCAAAGAAGCAGTAAAGCTTGCGTGTCTATGGCGCATGATCTACTTTTTCTTGGGACTCTGTGACTATGATGAAGTTGTTTATAGGCAACATCGATCATTCGTCAAGTTAGCATCCCAGTGGCGTATTCATCAGTGTTAAAGTAATACACATAGTGTTGTGATGATATATTTTTGTGATTCAAATTACGCCGCCACCCCCACGCGCGTTAAAATTTATACTAAAAGGGATATAATTACATCGATTTGAGCGTTCATGGTCAAAGAGTAGAGTCCCATCGTGAAACATTACAAGACAAAGCAATCCAGCCCCCCCACCTCCTTTACTTAATTCCTCACTCACTCACCCACCCATTCTCGACCGGGTATCACAAGACTCTAAGACGACTTGCCGTAAGCCTGGTCAACCTCCTTCTTGTAGTGTTCCAAGATGCCCTTGCGGTTGAGCTTCTGGGCAGCGGTAGTCAGGCCCTAGAAGAATGTTAGCGATTTTGTTTTCCACGTTCACGGTATCCATGTAGACTTACGTTTTGTGGTGTCCATTCCTCGTCAGCCAGAACAACGCCTTCAATCATCTCAAAGCTGGCAAGACCACCCTTTTGGCCCGCCTCTTGCAGCTGCTTCAGCACAGCAGAGTTGATCTTCTTGTCGTGGACAAGCTCCTCAAGGTGGTCACCAGTGACACCGACTTGAGCGGCAATCTTCTTGAGCTGTGGCTCAGTGGGCACAATGATGGCAATGGGCTTCTGGCGGTCCTGAGCAGCGTAGACGCAGATGTTTGCGACAATGGGCGCAGATCGGTAGACAGACTCGAGCTTCTCGAGCGCAATGTACTCTCCAGCAAGCGTCTTGACAAGGTTCTTCTTGCGGTCGATGATGCGGATTTCTCCGTTGGCGTTGAACTCGCCTACATCGCCAGTCTTGAACCAGCCATCTTCGGTGAAGGATTCCTTGGTCTCTTCGGGCATGTCCAGGTAGCCTTCAACGACACCGCCACCACGAATCCAGATTTCACCCTGAGGAGGGTTGTTGGTGGAGAAGTATCCAGCATCGGCAAAATCAACCAGCTTCATCTCGATCGATCCGGGCATCTCACCAAGAGCTTTCTCGTTCCAGGCCAGAGGATCCATGAGCGCACCCATGGCGCAAGTCTCGGTCAAACCGTAGCCGCTGATCATGGGTGTAATAGCAATGGAGATGAAGCGCTGGGTTTCCTTTGCAATGGGACCACCACCGTTCATGCAGATTCGGAGTCTGCCACCCGTGGCCTCCTTGACCTTGTTAAAGACAATGGCGTCGAGAATACCACTGCCGGGAAGGCCAGAGCCCAAGAGGAAACCCTTGGCTGCAAAGGCACCCCAGAACATGTTGCTCTTAAGCGCGCCTCCTGCCTCAACCTTGTTGATGATGCCCTTCTTGATGGTCTCCCATACCTGGGGAACACCGACCATGACGGTGGGCTTGAGCTCACGGATGTCACCAGCACAGTTTCGCACCGATTGATCGGAGAGTGTGCGGATGGTACCGTAGCCCATGGTACCTCCCCAGTAGAGTACAGCGTTTTCGAACACGAACTCGAGAATGTGTGCGGCTGGGAGGTAGGTGATGAGCACATCACCAGGTCCAAGGTACTTTCCTACAATGACATCGACACCAGCGACTGGGCACATGGTTAGCATTGGACGCGTTGTGATTGCAGATCTGAGAGCACTTACCAGCAGCAACGACATTGCGGTGCTTGATCATAACACCCTTGGGGGTTCCAGTGGATCCAGAAGTATACATGATACAGGCCAGGTCGTCTGCCTTTGGTGGAATTGGCTCTGCGGGGTTCTCCTCGCCCAGCTTGATCAGGTCGTCAAAGCTGATGACTTTCAGGTGGGGATGTGCCTGGGTGAGGGTATCAATATCCTTTTGCTTGGGGTCGTTTTTTGTGCAGTAAACAACTACTTGGACGTCCTTGGCCTCGTTCATGGGTTTCACGAGACGGGGCAGCAGCTCTGGGTCGGTAAACATGACCTTTGCTTTGGTCTGAAGCATAGAGTGCTTGAGGCCCTCCTCTCCGAGCGTGTCGTAGGCAGTAACAATGGCCATTGACTGGGAAAGCGCACCTGCACAAGTGATTAGGGCCGTGTCAGTGCATGCGTGTTGCGCGTTTGCTTACCGTGGGCAGAAGCCAGCCATTGCATGCTGGTGGCGGCGAAGAGGTGCAGCCTGTCTTGTGGCTCGAAGCCCAGTGACTTGAGGCCCGAACCTACTGAGAGAGCCATTTGCTCAAACTCGATAAAACTCTTGTACTTGTAGGGGCTAAGCTCAAAGTATTGCCACTTCTTGTCGACTTCCTGCTCCTTGCCGTCGACCATCTTCTTGATCTTCTTCGTCTCCTCGTGTACGTTGACGATGCGGCGCGCACCGACGGCCTTTGCATTTCCAAACTTGGCGGCCGAGTGTCGCAGGATGTCGTAGAGGGTCGAGACGTCTTCGTGGGGCTTCAGGATGAGGCCATCTTTGGCCGCGTTGTTGCGGCGCGGTACCGTCTCGCCGTCTACCTTTTGGGCATTGGGGGCTTCACAGGTGTAGGGGCCGGTCCTGTATGTCTTTGCCTGGGGCATCAACTTCTTGAGGTCCTGTGGCATGATGGCGGTGTCTGCGTATGGAGAGCGCAGTGCGTGGGAAAGGGCAGTATGGGTATCAAGGAGGAGGGAAAGGGGGATGGCAGAGAGGGCTATTATAGAAAATAGCACGAGGGAGTATCGTCGCCAGCGGAGAATGGCGGATGACAGAGTGATACAGAGCTGGGGGGGTTGCTGTTGGGGAGCTTATGCGCTTGTCGTGCTCATGTCGCTAAAGCGATGTGCTGCACGGCCGAGCTTCTAGGCAATGACCTCACAGCCACAGCACGAGCTGGGCGACTCAGGTGCAGCTGCACTTGCACTTGCTGGCGGCCGCCGGGCACGAGCCGGGTGCTCCACTCTTTTTTTTTCCTGCAGCGTCAATGCCATATCTGATCTACGAGGCTGCACGCACACAGACACGGACACACAGATACAGACATGTCAAGCACAGGCACATCGAGGCGGCCACCTGTCCTCTTTGGACACGCTGCTTTGGTTACTTACTTGCTGCTAACACGCCCAGTACCAGGCATGTCGGCAGAGAGCCGAGGCTGAGCCGTGGGCCAAGCAGGCAAAGTCGCGTCCCAAGACCAGCATCCTCCTTTCATAGCACTTGTGCATTGTTGTTCCTCTCAGAGGCACTGGTTAGCCAAAACCTTACTACCGCCGCCCACCCTGCAACCTGCAACCTGCAACCTGCAATCTGCAACCTGCATCCAGCGGGCCAGGCATCCCACCCCCCCGTCACCTGCGCCGTCTCCACCGCAATGGATCTGACGGCTCTGCTGGGATCGGATCCTATCGCGGACCCTGAAGAAGGTGTGTAACAAGTCTCTGGGACCACGCCCTCGAATCACAGCCTCAAGGTCATCCTCGGCTCGACGTATTTCTCGCCTTCCTGCCATTCGCTCCTCCACCACGGCCACGTACAAAGTGTCAGAAAGGCCAAAACCCCGTCATCATCGATACACCATGGCGCATCACGCTCACCCCGTTGTGCAGAGGCATTCGTCGTCTTCTCGCAAGACATTCCTTCTCAGTCGCTCGGCTT